GTACTGGCGAGGCCCGCTCGCCCCGCACCGCGCCCGGCCCAACAAGCTGGAGCGCGAGCGCACCTGCCAGCTGCTCGACACGCGCCGATTCCTCGAGGGTAAGAGCGCGACCGCAGCGCGGCGGGCGGACGGGGCAGAGTGGCGTGGGCCCGGGGCGCGTAGGCACAGGGCGGGCAAAGGAACGTGGACAGAGGAGACTGGGCACGCGAGACGTGGGCGTGGGGGAATGGGCTTAAGGGAGTCGGGCATGGGGTGGGCACCGAAACGAAGGATATGGCACAGAAGCACTGGGAGGAAGGGGGAGAGAATATGGGCGCCAGGAGGGCTGGGCACAGATATGGACATAGGCGTATGCGGAGTGTAGGCGCGGGGCAGGATTGGGCGTTGGGTGTGGGGCCTAAGCATGGGACTTGGGTACATGAGTTGCCATAGGGCGCTGGGCACAGGGTGGTCATCAGGGTCATTGGGCACAAGATAGGTGAAAGGCAGTGGGTGTGCGGTGGACATAAAGGCACAGGAGTGAGCACAGGGGCACCAGGCCAGGGGCATGAGCACTGGAAGTGAACACAGATGTGGGACATAGGACAAGCATAGGGACGTGGAAGTAGGCACACGGCATGGGAACACAATGGAGATGTGGGCTTCTAGGACGTGGGCATGGGTGTGAGTACAAGGTGGGCACTAGGAAGGATGCCTGGTCTTGGCCCAGCCCCACAGTCTCCGTGCCCGTAGAACTGCGCGCCCACCAGCAGGACGGCCACCCGGAGCCAGAGTACCAGATCCGCCTGTGCTTTGGTGAAGAGTATCCGGGCCCCCCAGACCAGCCTGAGGAGCGGCTCATCATGGCCCACGTGAGTCACTTCCTCCAATGTAGCAGGAGAACCACACCCTGCAGTACCCTCAAAAAGGCCCCTCACTTACTCCTCCCAGTCCCACCCCCCCCATGTATGACCCTTTGGTCTGTATGACCCTGCCTAAAAAATGGATGTGGGGAGGGGGCTGTCACTAGGGCTGTGACTTCCCACCGGGAATGCTGCGGGCTGGAAATGGAGAGGGTTGGCTCATTGCCCCCACCCCCAACCCTGACAGGTGGAGCCAGTCTTCGCCCGTGAGCTCCTCCTGCATTCAAAGCTCCTGGGCACTGACGCCCCACTGGGTCCCCAGCCCGGCATCCCTGATGGTGTCACTCACCTTCTGACGCAGCTGAGTCCGCCCTAGGTGGGAGGTTTCCCCCTAAATACAGCCCCCACAGGGTGCGGACCCCTACCCCCACCCCAACCCTGCCCACACTGAGCCAGTGGATTTGCCCCCCACATCCCCCGCCAACCCCTCGCCCAGGTCAGCAGGACAGAAGTCAATTATGATGGCCTTCAACCTCTCTGTCCTGGAACATGGCGAGCAGGCGGCTACCAGGCAGCTGGGCATGGGGCATCAACCCAAACCGAACTAGAGCTTGAGGCCCCAGAACGTAGCAATTGGGGCAGAAACAAGACTTCATCTCTTGTTGAGAGCCCAACATGCCAACACCAGGTTTACTTTGAGGTGGCCTTAACCTGCAATTCTGTCTATTATAATGCTTGCTTAAAGCTGAGTTTACCAATAATTAGATCCTCAGGGCTGTTTAGAATGAGGCCAACCAGTAACAAAATTGCCTGGCCTCTGAGGGGCTCTGGGTTTCCAGATCCTTCCTCCTACCTGCCACTAGTCTCTCTTCTTTGGGGGCTTGGGGGGAAGGGTCCAAAACAGAGGACTTGGCCTGAACTCTGGGCTTTGGATGCTACCTGCTAAAGCACCAGCACCTGTAGGACACTCTCTTTGGAGAAACTGAGGCAGGCCCCCAAATATAGCCCTAAGGCAGAGGCCAAAGTGGGAGTCCATCCCCTCTGCGAGTCCCATTGATCTTTGCAAACTGTAAGTTATAGGGAATTCTTGAGAACCATAAAGTTGGTTCCCCCTGCCTTTGTGAGTAAAGTAACTATTTCCCACCCCAGATATAAGACCTTTTTTCTTTTCTGATTTCTGACTTCATTTATACAAATCCTCTTACAGACACTAATGTAATAAATCTCTTCTTAGTGATATATTAATAGGAAACTGTATGATTTGACAAAAGACAGAGTCAATCAATTGCTGTTTTTTAGTTATTCGACAGACATTTATTGAACACCTACTCTGTTCCAGGCTTCTGTTCCAGTGTCCAGTGCTGGATACTGGGGATAGAGCAAAACAGCATGATTCCTACTGTCTTGGGGTTCACAGTTTGCTTTCCAGTAGGGATCCGATGACTGTCTCCTAACCCCCACCCCTCACAGAAGGGGTATGTTAAGGTGTTACAGTATTCCGGGTTAAAATCACAGCTTTGTCACTTGCTGGCTGTGTGACCTCAGGCAAGTTACTTAACTTCTCTGAGCCTCAGATCCCTCGTCTCTTCACAACAAGCTATGAAGACCTTTGGAGCAGGGTTGATCTGAGGAGTAAATGTGGTGGGGGAAGTGAGCTGGCCTGGCCTAGAGTAGGTAACCACTGACTTGGGACTGGGGGAGCTGGAGGATGCTGCCCCATCCTTCAGACCTGTCTGTACTGGGCTTCACCGTACCTCCCAGGCCAAGGCTTCAGCTAGGGGAGCCTCAGTTCAGGGCGACAATCCACAGCCATGTTCAAACCCCTACTCTGTGCTAGGCTCTCCAAGAGTGCTAGATTCTGTGTAAGGGAGCCTGTTGCTTCCTCAGCGTGGCCCAGACAGCTGAAGAGTCACCAGTTCCATTTAAAAGTTGGGGAAACTGAGGCTCAGCCAGGGTCTTTTGGGGGGTGGGGTATTTGTTTATTGTGGCAAAATACACGTAACATAAAATTTGCCATTTTAATCATTTTAAGTGTACAATTAAGTGGCATGAATGACATTCACAATGTTGTGTAACCATCGCCACTATCCATGTCCAGAACTTTTTCATCATCACAAACAGAAACTCTATATACCCATTAAACACTAACTCCAGATTCCCGGCTTCCCCCTCAGCCAGGGTCTTGAGCTACTTCTTCCCAGGGAAGAGCTCTGCCCAGACGGATGTCTTCCCCACACCAGTCACTAGGGGGCGCCAGGGGCTCGACAGAACTGGGTGCCGTTGGCCCTCACCACCATCCTAGGCGCCCCTCCCGGCATACACCCCAGTGCTAGGAGGACCGAGAATAGTGTGGCCCAAGGGCTCTCTCTGCACTGCGGGGAGGAGAACGTCAACCACGGGGCTGGGAGGAGGAAAGGAAAAGGGGGACTAGAGGGGGGAATTTGAGAGGCCCCTGGGCTTTTCTCGCTGTGCGGGGACTCGGCTTATACTGTCTCCCTGTCCTCTCGCTGCTCCTCCCCCTGTGTCCGTACCTGTGTCTCTCTCTGTATCTCCTTTCTCTCTGTCTCTCAGAGCCTCTGACTTTCTCTGTATGTGTGTGTGTGTGTGTGTGTGTGTGTGCACGTGTCTCTCTCTCTGGCTCTGTGTGTCTGTCCATTTTGTCCGTCTCTGTGTCATCTTTGTCTCTCTTTAGGTCTGCCTCTCTCTCTCTCACTATGTCTCTACAGAGGTCTCTTTCTCTTTTCTATCTCTCTGTTTCTTTTTGTTTCTCGTCCCTTCCCTCCTACCTCATCCCCCCTGGAAGCTGCTCACAGCTTCCCAGTGCCGGCCTCTCTCGAGCCTTGGGGGAGTGGAGGAAGGGCGGGCAGCCTGGTGGGCCCACCCCTTTTTGCCTTTCCAGGCCGGGAGGCTGGGCCAGTGCGCCTTTTAACCAGCCCGGGCCGGGCAGGCTGTCCCAGACACCAGCCCTGGACGCCGTGCCTGGTCCCTGTGCTCCCAGCAGCCAGGCCAGCATGCAGCAGCAGCCCTCACCCGGGCCCTTGGCCCCCGCAGCTGAGCCAACCAAGCCTCCCTACAGCTACATAGCCCTGATTGCCATGGCCATCCAGAGCTCACCAGGACAGCGAGCCACACTCAGTGGCATCTACCGCTACATCATGGGCCGTTTTGCCTTCTACCGCCACAACCGGCCTGGCTGGCAGAACAGCATCCGCCACAACCTGTCACTCAATGAGTGCTTTGTCAAGGTGCCTCGCGATGACCGCAAGCCAGGCAAAGGCAGCTACTGGACGCTGGACCCCGACTGCCACGACATGTTCGAGCATGGCAGCTTCCTACGCCGCCGCCGCCGCTTCACCCGGCGGACAGGTGCGGAGGGCACCAAGGGCCCTGCGAAAACACGCCGCGGACCCCTCAAAGCATCCAGCCAGGACCCCAGAGTCCCTAACACCGCGACTGCCGGGCAGTGCCCATTCGCACCAGAACTGCCAGACTCCAAGGGCCTAAGCTTTGGGGGTTTGGTGGGTACCCTGCCATCTAGCATGTGCCCAGCAACCACTGATGCCAGGTCTCAGCCGCCTGCAGAACCCAAAGAGATTTCCACACCCAAGCCTGCAGGCCCAGGAGAACTCCCCTTGGCCACCTCATCATCCCCATGCCCGGCATTTGGCTTTCCTGCTGGATTCTCTGAGCCCGAGGGTTTTAGCAAGGCCCCTACGCCTGTCCTGACCCCTGAGGCAGGCATCGGGAGCAGCTACCAGTGCCGGCTGCAGGCGCTGAATTTCTGCATGGGGGCTGACCCAGGCCTTGAGCACCTCTTGGCCTCGGCAGCCCCCTCTCCTGCACCACCCACCCCTCCAGCCTCACTCCGGGCCCCGCTGCCCCTGCCAGCTGATCCCAAGGAACCCTGGGTGGCAGGTGGCTTCCCTGTCCAGGGAGGCTCCAGCTACCCACTGGGGCTGACCCCCTGCCTATACCGGACGCCAGGAATGTTCTTCTTTGAGTGAAGGCAGCCTCGCTTCGGGCAGTACCTGCCAGGACTCCTGCCAAATACACCCTCCAGGCTGAGCCCAGCTCTAGGACCGGGAGAGCTCTCGAAGGATCCAGCCCTGGCAAGCCAAGGACAACCAGGACAGGAAGCCAGGATCAAAGCTGCAAATACTCAGCCAGGCCCCCGGGGCCTCTGGACAAACTTGGGGGTGAGGGGAAGTGGGGCCCCTTGGGATTTACTCTGTGGCTCTCAGGGCCAATAAAGCCAGTGTGATGATGAGGGTCAGCTTGCTGGATGGTTGGGGGCTGAGGGCCAGGAGGCCTGGTTCTGTGCAGGGTGGCTGTGTTTGTGGGGTTGTGCAGCAGGGGCAGGGGACCCTAGATGGAAATATCTCACATGTGGCTTTCTCCAGCTGGGGACTTTCTCGGGGAGTTTCCCAAGAAGGCAGAGGAAGGAGAAGCAGGGAAGAATGGGGGAGGGAGAGGAGGGATACAACCAAGAGAGAGACTGGGCAGGGGTGAGGCTGGGCTGTCCTGAGGGGCTGACCCTCCAGCCCCCAACTCTTAGCACCCCCCGTTATGAGCCATCATAATAACCGTGACCATCTGCAGCATCTACTCTGTCCTGGGCTTGTTTATACTCACCTGCGTGATATGGAATGTTAGCCCCATTTACAGTGGTAGAAACTATGGCTCAGAGAGTTTGGGACTCACCAGTTCCAACTCCAGATGGCACATGAGGAGCAGAGAGGACATCAAAACCAAATCTGTGTGGCTCTACCCTCCAGCCCTGACCTACAGAGGTGGAGAACAGGGCCAGAACAGAATGAGTGGTGACCGCAGAGGAGGGAGGGCTTTTTTGAGATCCTAGAGTGCTAAAGCTCAAAAGGTACCCCTTACATTGAACAGGCAGGACACCGAGGGCTCCCAAGGCAGTACCTATCCCCTCTTTGGATTTCCCATACCAATGATGAACCTCTCCTGAGCCCCTGGCTCTTCAAGTTCTCCTGGTGACTCTTTAGGAAAGCATTTCTCTCAGGGCAGGGGCAGGGTCTATGGTCCTGAGTGCAGATCAGAAGTAACTAAGACTGACCTCTGGCCTTCTCTTGCTACCCTCTTGGTAGGAAGCAGGAGAAATAGGGGTATCTGTGACTCCCATCAGAGGAACAGACATAGGAACCTGAAACTTCACTCTGCGCACAGCCCCCCAGTACTGGAGTAGCAGAGGCAAGTGGCTTCTTCCTGAAGCCTCAGTCATCCCTTCTGGATCATGGGTACAGGGAGAAAAGAGAGGGGCCAGGAGGCTGGGGCCACCCCCATTCTGGTGTTTGGTGTGGGGCCTGAAGGTGACACTAGGGTCTGGAGACCCCTTCACTGGGCAGGCAGCCC